AAACACGGCCCAGCCCTGGATCTGGCGTCCTGGCTCCGCCCTGTCCCCTGCGATGCTGTCCCCACGTCCCCACCTTGGCCCCACCCTGCCCGGCCCCAGCTCACACATCATGTTTCAGGGTCGTCTGTCTTCCTGGCTTTTCTGTGTCTCTCATTGCATTATATAAATGCTAAAACAACCGCGGTTCGTTTATTTCTTAATATTTGCAAACCCGAGCCTGCTGGTTGGCATTTAGCTCTGGCTTTGCCCATAAAGCGAGAGAGCGCAGAGCCACTCGGGGAGGGACCGAGGCCGCGGTGACATGTGGCCTCATTAGAGGAAACCTCCCACCTCGCCCAGCGCCTAACCTGCTCATTCTTACAGGTGCCCCGACTTGACGTTTCTTTAGGAAAAGGTGAAGAACCAGCAGGTGAACTTCTGGCCGGATTACCGTTCCTGGCAGTGTCTTAAATGCACGAGACGGCACACCCGCATTTCTGCCTGTGTCCGTGGTTCAGACCACAGCTCATCCCATGCCCGGACCTGCATGTCTGTGCTTTTGCCAAAGCCGGTGCACAGTCACGAGGGGACTTTGGTTCCATTCTGTGGTCTCTCTGTGTGTCATGTCCCTGCAATTTAAGACAAAGTGTTACGAAATTAAGAGGTTGGAAAGGATCTGCCAGACCTTTCAGTCTTGGTGGAAGGGGTTTCGTGCTGTGGCCACCCTGCCGGCTCCCAGCTGGGTCCAAGCTTTCCCACAGTCATGAAGGACGCTAACCAGAAGCTCCCATACAGCGTCCCCGCGGCCGGCCGTGGCCTTTCTGCGGTGTCTACACCCGCTCCGGCCGGCCCCCCATGCCCCAGTCCAGGCCTGCAGCCCCGGCCTCCCCTTCCTGTCCCGCATGGCACCTGCCTGCCTGGAGTCTGCTTCTCCCTCCATCCGTAGCTTTTCTTTTATTAAAAAAAAAAAATTTATTGAGGTAGTTAATTTACGATGTTGGGTCAATTCCCGATGTACAGCAGAGTGATTCACTTTTATGTAGGC